ATTTGCTATTATCATCATTTTTTCCATTCCTTATATCACTTCAATTCCTTTAAACAATTAAGTCAATAGAAAAATTGTTTCAAGAAACACATAGCTATCGATTCGATCAATTAAGCCGGTTCTACAGTCGTACGTCGGAGTCGGATTTCGGAACGCAGCCGATGGTCCAATGAGAAAATTTCTTTTTCGAAAATGAATTTCTCTCATTGGATCATCGGCTACGTTACGATATCCGACTCTGACATACGACTGATTGTAGAACCGGCCTTTAACGATCTTCAGTCGCATGGATAAATTAATTACAGCAAACTACCGCGTAATAGTCGTTTCAAAAAATAATAATATGACGACGCTCGTGCTGTTCGACGCTCGCGCAAATGACAACAACAAAACACGTACGATATGTCGCACAAAAAAGATGAGAGATACGAACGCCCAGCGAAAAATTGATTTCTTTTATTCATTTAATAAAACCTAATTTTATTTTATTAAAACCTAATTGCAGGCCAGCGACAGTCCGAAAATGGAACATCAACTGCAGCAGCAGGATTGTGTCAAAAAGGAGGAATGCTACGACTGCTACGAGGTCAGTCAGCGGCGACAAGAACGACGCCGTCGACGCCGAGCCGAGCGCGGCGGCAGCGCCGCGTCGCCGCCGACCGTCGGGCGTCGAGATGACGTCAGTGACGTGCAACGATGGCGGCGGCGGCGTCGTCGTCGTCGACGATAGCCAACAGGAACGCGATTCCCCGGAGGTGGCAGCGCCTGGCAGCGCCGACGTCGACAACCGTGGAGAACGATGTCAAGGAGGAACCAAAGAGTTCAGAGAAACCGAGTACCGACAGCCGAGATCTTGGCGTTTGGTCGTGCAATTCGCGGCATTCACACATTTGTTTTCATCTGTATCCGAAATATTTCGGTAGTGATCTGTTAATTATTTAAAAATGGCTACGATTACATTTACGGAATTATGCGTATATATTGATGCGCAATTGCGATCTATAAATATAGATATAATATGTAACTGTTATTTAACCTAACCTATCTGTTCCGAGCACGTGAGCTCCGTTTTTGTTCTCGACGAGGTTGAAGTTTCAATTTGCACGTATGTCGATAGCTCGGATTAACTCATATAAATTCGAATAAGCATCGCAATTGGAATGGCTCGGCGATTAAGCAACAAGGCAAAGCTCAAATCGTTGTTAACTGTGACGAGTAGCGCAGTCGCTCTGTTTGGCGGTATATCTCTCTATCAGGGCAACGAAAGATTTTACAGTGACGTCGCTGTACCTCTGGTGCAACTGATAGATCCGGAAACCGCCCACAAACTCGCGGTGAAAGCTCTGAAATATGGTCTCGTGCCGAAGCAGAGGACAGAGGATCCCAGCTTGCTCCGGACGACCGTGCTGGGCATGGAGTTCAAAAATCCGATTGGCATGGCTGCGGGATTCGATAAACAAGGAGAGGTGGTAGAAGGACTGCACAAGATTGGTTTCAGTTTTGTAGAGATAGGTAAAATCTATTGCAAGAGTGTAAACAGGATTTTTCAAATGTATAACAAGATAATTATTCCTATATCGCTTTCTTGCAGGTTCCGTTACGCCTAAGCCTCAACCTGGCAACCCAAAGCCCAGAGTCTTTAGATTGCCGGAGGATAATGCAGTTGTAAATAGATATGGATTTAACAGCGACGGCCACGACGTCGTGTGGGAACGCCTTAAGAGATTGAAGGAGGGCAAAGATTTCAACGGCATTCTTGGAGTGAATTTAGGAAAGAACAAAGAGACGGTAGACGCGACTCAGGATTACATTGATGGCGTAAAAAGATTCATGGATGTGGCGGATTACCTTGTAATTAATGTATCTAGTCCTAATACTCCGGGTTTAAGAACCTTGCAAAGCAAGAAGAATCTGGAGGAGTTACTGACCAGGATAAACGCAGCAAGGGAATCGGTGGGTAGCAAACAGCCGCTGCTTCTGAAATTGGCTCCAGATTTGTCGGATTCCGAGCGGCAAGATGTGGCTGATGTGGTTTTAAATAAGAAATCTAGGGTCGACGGTTTGATCTTGTGCAACACCACGATTACGCGACCGAACTTGACTAATCCGAACAAGGAAGAGACCGGAGGCCTCAGCGGTGCACCTCTTACAGATATTTCCACAGCTATGATAGCCGACATGTATAGACGAACGCGTGGCAGCATTCCAATTATTGGCGTAGGCGGTATTTTCACTGGAGCGGATGTTTATGTCAAAATAAGAGCTGGTGCTTCGCTGGTGCAGCTTTATACCTCGTACATATACAACGGGCCACCAATAGTGGGCAAGATCAAGAGGGAATTGTGTGAAATACTTGAAACTAATGGTTTTTCTTCTGTGACTGATGCAATAGGCAAGGATGCTAAGAATAAATAGACATTTCAATCTTAATGCGTGTAGCCCACAAACAATACGCATTATATAAATATTCAATGCAATTTATATAAAACCTACTGTATATAAATAACAAAATAACATTTTGTTAATCCATTTATATTGTTATAATTGAATAAGAGTTTTCACTATGTTTGTGTTAAATCGGTATTGATTCATTATGTATACCGTCTGCTTATATGTATACTTATTTCCATTTTATTTCCAGCTTATTATCATATATTAGGTATTATTATCAATTCATATGACGTAAGTCGAAAAATTAGAATATCGCAGATAGCGATATTTCCTGCAAATGCATTTCACAGAACCTTACGTAATTCTAAAAATGCACGCAGGTATGATACAGCGCGAATTTGCAAATCTGTCGTCATATCAATGTTTATATAAAGCGAAAATTGTGCATATACAGTCGCATAAATGTTAATTAAATGCGACCAGTTGTTACGTCAGCTCTCGATACCAGTTCCACGTGTTTATTTTCCGACCAAAACAAAACTATACATTTTATTTGCCACGCACGTAATTGCAAATTGTGCGAACTAAGATACACAATCTCATCCGGTAATTATGACGATAATAATTTTTTACTTGTGAAGAAAACAAGATGCAAATTATCAATGCAAATTACATTAGACCGGTTTACTGATGCAATTTAACTATAATTTTTATACGCGATCGTTTCATCGTTATTACAAAAATCGTCTTTTTCATCGAGTGGGATTCGTTATACCAATTACACCTAATTACGCCTAATTATAGTCATTCAATGGCACACGATATCCGTTGCTTATTTAAACGCTCTATTATACACTTAATTATTTCGCGTTACCTCAGCAGTTAAATTCTCGCGGGTCGCTCGCGCGTAACCCGCCCGACCATCGCCGTCGGGCGACGGCGGCGACGCCACTGGCGCGCTTGCCGAGTCCGCGGATCTACGATCCACCTCGCGGACTCCTCCCGCAATACCGTCGTAATCGGAGCAGTCAGCTGTTGTGTCAAAGTGAAACATCCTTAACCAACAAATTGCGCGGATATTCGGCCAGTCTCGCACGACTCGGTGGCACGCGACAAACCCGTGCCTATCCCGACGAACGACCGGCCTACGTTCCACGGCCACGGAGGTACGTTTTTCCCCTCTCGGCGACGTTCGCCCGCCTCGCGGGGGAAGATTCCGCGATCGTCTCTCGGCACCGTCGCATCCGCGGAGTGCCAGCGGAGTGCCCCGTCATCGGCGCACGAGGCGCGTTCGCGACCCCGTGATAAGACACGAAAAGTTTTCCTCGGCCGCGCCTTATCTCGAGCATCGGTGGGAAAAGGAAAAGAGGAACACAAGTGCGTATCGTCCGTCGCCCCCCGTGGCGCTCGTTGACGCACGTTTCGACGAGCGTGACGTGCGTCCCGCGGGTAAACAGAACCGCGTCGAAGTCGAAGGTGCGACTCCTGGGCCCTGGTCATTTTTCTCTCCTCGCCGCGTCCGTCCGCCGCGCGCACGCACTCACGCACGTTCGCACGACGCACGTATACGCGCGACGTACATACCCAGTACGTGGCGATCGCCCGACGTCCCGACGTCCGCGAGGTAGTCCCGAGACGTCCGTCTCTCGTCGCCGTGATCCCGCGATGGACAATGCCACCACGTTCAAATCGTCGACGACGAAGACGCGAGCTGCTGCGTCGTGCCTAATTTCGACCCGACGGCTGTGTGCGGCTGTTAATTTTGATTGCCAAACAAATCGCCGAGAGTTTCTCCGAATCAGCCTTTGATTTTATTGATCCAGCCGGGATTTGTCTCGAACACGATTTTGATATAGAAATATGGCTTAATGTATAAAACTGGCTTAATTTTTGTGATCCGTGTCGACTCGACTCGTGTAATAGGAAAATGTAAGGATGACGTCATCGTCGTCGTTGGAGACAACTTTCCCTTTTCGTGAGATCTTATCTATATCTGATGTTAATTTTATTTACATAATTAATATTTATTTTATATCACTTTTGTGTTTCATCCTAATTAAGTGCTCAATTTTGTTTGTTCAATGTTAGAGTTTAGAAAAGATTTTGATAAATCAAATTATAAGTGCACGTAACAAATGAATATATAGTAGAGTCTTGCTTTTCAACAATATTCTCAAGCAGACCTTGCTTCAGCAGCCGTTCGATTCTCTGCTGCCAAGCGTCATTCAATCGTGTAACGTAAGACGGTACACGGAAAACAATTCGTGCTTAGCGCACGACAATACATTTTGTATCAACAGGGCCGGGGTTTAAAAGATAACGGGTTGATACAATCTCGCAAAATATGCGTACATACCTCGTGCAGAGCGCGATCGAGAGAGAAAGAGAAACACGGATCTCGCCTTTCGCGCAAATCGAGCGTGTCGAAATTTCGTGCATATTGCATGACTTTTAAGTGTTGCGACACGCCGATAATTTATGCGTCCCATAGACACACGGTGAAATCGCCGATGACCATCGTGCGATTCGGCTTGCGGTCGAAATCCTTTCCCGGAGAAAGCGGCGAGTCGTTTTTTACAGAAACTCGAAAATTTAAAAATAGGCGCATGACCGAGCGCACGTGACATATCGTTCAGTATCGCAGCGGGAGTAAAAATGTAAAAAAAGACTCGGTCATTCTTTCGAAGGTGTGACGGCGCTTTCGTTGAGTGTATATACGTATGGTTTTCGGAACAATTTTCAAAAACATTTCCGACCGTGCATACTTTCGTGTTGAGTATGTGATTTATTTTGAGAATATTACGAATGTGTTATCCTTCGAAATTTTCGTCTCGGCAAAGGCAGCTTTGAGGAGCGATAATTTGGACGATTTATTCATACGCTCGGTTTATTGTACTCGAATACGTCGGTTTTATTTTTGTAACGCTTTGATATACGCGCACCTATATAAGTATAACGCGGCCTGAGCGTGAATCTGTCTGCGATGGAGTCTCTCGATGGAGACGTGATATTCTTCAGGTTCTCAATTATCTCAGCAGTGAATCACTTGAATAAGAGACAATGAATAAGCGAGATCTATTATTGCCGCGGTCACGCGCGCAATTCCAAGTTTGTCGGTTCTATTCACGCTATATGATTGATAGGTTCGATATTCCGCGCGTCGCTTACGTCACTGTATTTATATAATACACATAAAAAGCGCAACAACATGTTAATCGGTATAATATCTCAATAAAGTTCTGTTTGAACAGATGTGCACGTTCATCGGGAACTCTGTATAAATTTAATCCGCATGCAATAATTTGATCAAAAGTATCATGTTCTTTTACAAGTTAATGTAAACGCTTGCATAAAGTTTTTATTAATAACTCGCACATTAATTAAGATTTTAAGGTATCCTAAAAATTGGCAATTCCCTTTTTATGTGAAGATTTTAAGATATCCTGATTAATTGCAATTATTCGCTTTGATTGCAGAACGTGTCATTCTGAACATTACGAGGCCAAATATGACTCTTTAGCAACGCACAACGTTTCTCAATACTTTTCTCAGAATGTTTAAGGAAAGCGAAAATGGCGTGGGTGGCTGCAACGGTGCACCACCTCGTCCTCGGAGAATGTTTCCCCGATTTTCCCTGCGAAGATTATTGTATTCCAGTCCGCTTATTGGTCGTCGCATAGCAAGAACGCCTAGTGCAAGTAATAGGAATACAAAAGGTAACTTCTACATTTTCTATTAAGATGCGATGTTGTGTGTAATACTTGAAAGCGAGCATAATTTTCTAAAATAGAAAATATTTTTACAGCTAAAGATCAAGCAAGCGGCAGAGCGACGGATGTTGAGAAAGGAGAGGCCAGAGTAAGCAACGGTTCGAGCCATTTCCAATTTCACAACATAGATCTACAGCGTGCTTCCAGCAAAGGCTCCGTGCTTTCTTCTGCAGGAAAGGTATTAATAAGGCGAGATAACACTTACATTGAAAAGAAACTGAGCAAAAGCCACGGATTTTCTTATCGATAAGCTATCATTGTTAAATCTTGTTTACGTTTGTTATTTCAGAGTAATGAGAATGGATTAATGGAATGTCCATTATGTTTGGCCGAACTGCCAGTAGAATTTTTTCCTACTATACAGTCTTGCCATCATCGCAGTTGCTACGATTGTTTTCAACAATATCTGAAAGTAGAAATCTCTGAATCCAGAGTTAATATCGCTTGCCCTGAGTGTTCAGAACCACTACATCCAAATGGTGAGTACATTATAAGTATATAAAGTAATTACGTTCTTCTAACATCATATATCTTGCTTATTATCATAAGATTTACGAGTTGCTATCTCTCATCGTCTTCTGTGTTACATTTTTGCACATATAGATATTCGGATGATTCTGAATGATCAAACGCAGCTAGAGAAGTACGAAGATTTTATGGTTCGAAGAGTGCTTGCCGTAGAGCCTGATGCAAGATGGTGTCCCGCTCCGGATTGCAGTTTTGCTGTAATCGCTAGTGGTTGCGCCTCATGTCCAAAATTACGTTGCGAGCGACCAGGTTGCGATTCGTACTTTTGCTATCATTGTAAAGCACGGTGGCATCCTAATCAAACGTGTGATGCTGCGAGAGCACAACGATCTCAATATTACGAGCGCAGTTCCTCTCTAAGTTTCAGTCAAACTGATTCTCAACACAGTAAGTGTTAACGAATTAACATTTATGTAACTAACATTAAATTATATTTATAATCCGTGATATGTTTAGGAGACGACATAAAACCGTGTCCCAGATGCCAAGTTTTGATCGTCAAAATGGACGATGGAAGTTGCAATCACATGACTTGTGCAGTTTGCGGCGCTGAATTTTGTTGGCTTTGTATGAAAGAGATCAGTGATCTTCATTATCTCAGGTATATCCAATTATATTTTGAATAAAGTTATGAATCCACTATCTAAATGAATATACTTAAACATTTTTTCATTTTATTTATAGTCCTTCTGGCTGCACTTTTTGGGGTAAAAAACCGTGGTCCAGAAAGAAAAAGATTCTTTGGCAACTTGGAACTTTGGTGGGAGCACCAATTGGAATTGGTCTCGTCGCTGGTATAGCATTTCCAGCTATGATTATAGGTGTGTTGTAATATATTAAATTAATCATATTGCGACAATATAGAAAGATGTAACATTGAAACTGCACTGGAAAAAAAAGAAAATGTGTTACTATAAGCACTGTATATTTTGTGTTCCAGGTATACCTGTGTGGGTAGGACAAAAATTGTATACGAGATACGAGAAGGCCAATAAGCACAAGAGAAATGCCTTTATCGCAGGAGGAGTCACTGCATCAGTAAGTTTATTAAATATTTTTTTAAATATTATTTTATCAGTTGCATCTAAATGGTTGCATCTAAATTTTCTCGATTAAGTGTTATTTATTCTAAATGTTTCGTTAATATTTCTCGTTCCACGAGGAAAGTGGACGAGTGATCGTGTAAATTCTGTTTACGAACTGAAAGAAAAAGAATATAGAAACGTGTGTCTGTATCAATGGCAGGAACTTTGTTTACTATTCGTGATAACATCGAAGTATATTTTATCCATATAGTTTATACAGAGAAAATGGATAGTACAATAATTGTATATAGCGTTAACAAAACAGCGCGCTCGCTGGAATAATTATCGGAAGAAGTTTATCACGGGACGTATTCAGGCAAATGGAACGTAATTGTTTTATGTTTCATGTATATCTCGAAAATACTCTATAACTTTGATACATGTCCTATATCGTTAATCATGGATCTAGTTGATTCCGTCTTAATAATTGTATCACAACTACTTGCCTAAATCTTTAACGACTTTAACGACTTGGCACAGCGCATTAAAGACGTCCATTAGCAATTTGTATCTGAGCAGAAAACCGAATTGATAAAACCACACATTGGAGAAACCTACGTTTGTAAATCAATACTTTTATTACGCAGCTTCTCCTAAACAATTTGCTTCTGCTTTTATCTTACTTTTTGAGACTTTCATCAAGTTGCAAGCGAGTCTTGCGTGAATAGTCATTAAAATATTGTAACTTTTAAGGAGTAATGGCCGATAGGTTCTCAAAGCTTACATTAATATATAACTGAGACATCTATTGTGTCTAAGTATATCGATCTCGATCCATTTTGTCCCGCTCATCTTAGTATCTCGTCGCAAAGAGACGAATAGCGCAAGTTTTTAACGTCCACCATCCGTATTCTTCCGACGTGAATCGTGCTTCTTTACAGTTATCTTCTTCGGTGTCGGCATGTTATTACTGACTTAAGCCTCCTTTGGATTGGGAACACAAAGATTGTGTCTTTAAACTACAAACGGGCTATCTATTGCTTCATGTGAAACTCTTCGTTTAGAGTCACAGCCCTGACAGAAATATTAATTCTTTGGTGTATATGCTAACCGTGGCAGCGGTGATTAAGACTCGGCTTCGTTCGTCGCGACGACGGCTTCGTCCGTCAGTACGCCATCGTTATATAGATCTTCGAGGACGTCGATCAGTCGTTGCTCCGTGAGGGGATCACCGAGTGCGACGTCCACCGATCCGATGCAAAGCAAAAGCGCCAGCAGTTGGGACTTCCTGTAGTCCTTGTCGAGATCATTTCTGGTGTAACCTAAATCCTTGGGAATGTCTAGGCCAAGACTCGAGCACGTCCAGTTCAGCCTGTCCCAATACTTGTTCAAAAGCGTTTTAGTGTGCTTGCGCCGTAACTCGGTGGGCACTGAACTCACCAATAACAATGCAACATCGTTCGTTGGCCGACTGTAAGTGACCATTTGCCAGTCGAGAATGTAGCACGTGGTTTCGCTATGATCCTCGCGGAAAAGCAAATTATTGCTCCAGAAGTCGGTGTGAGTTATCAACGCCAGCGGGCCCTCCGGAGCGAGGAGAGCCGAAATGATGTCTTTAGTGCGAGGTCGTAGAACTAGTAGAGTCTCGAGGACCGCCTCCAATCCTGGTCTACTCTCCAGGAAGTGCGCCAGCTGTGGTAAACCGCGCTCCACCAATTGCTGGTACGAATCCGTTGCTTTTGCCGTTTGGAACAGAAACGGATAACGCTCGGAAAGAGATTGCCCGTCTACGACCTTCATCGACAGGGAATGGGCGTGTATGCGGGCGATGGCGTCTAACGCTGCCATCGCTTCGTTTAGTGTTAATCCTTCCGAGAACTTAACGCTCTGGAAACCGTCGTCGCTCAGGTCTTCCAATACTAGCATCGATTCGGGCGGTACTGGGCTGTCGTCAGTTCCGCCTGCAGGGCTGTAATGAGCATGATAGCAAGCCGGAACCGGTAGGATAATTCTTTCGTGCGACGTCGCTAGCTGTCTTTTATTGAATTCCTTCAAATCCGGCATTACCTGACGTACAAATGCACAGCATTAAGAATTCGTCAAACAGGGAGAGATCTCAAATCTGATTCGATTACCTGTCGCCTTACCTGTGTGTAAAACTTAATCTCTCGGAGATCGAATTGGCCCTCCGTAACGAAAAAGCGGCTAAACGGATCCTTGGGGAGTTGCTTTACGATAAGAGTCCTTTTGCACTTATCCCTCGGCTTACTCGACGTAACTGCTGCTAAATAGTGTACCGTAACGCTGGTGATAGCGCTCAGCACACTCTCGCTCGTCGCGTATCCGGGATTTACGTTAAACTCCACGACTTCGACCTAAATAAAAATCCATTCAGTGCACGAATCAGAAGTTAACGCGTAATCAATTAGTACGTATTTAGGACGATGCCCCGACGCCGGGCATCGACATAAATATTTATTTCACTCGTCTACATGACTAACCGCTCTCCCGTTGTAGTGTTTGGACAGAATGCTTTCGAGCCACTCCTTCCGGACCTCCCAATCCGAGACAATTTGCTCCTCCCCGCAGGAAGTATCGGTCTCGTCGTCCAGGTCGCTCATGACTCCTTCTGGCTCGTTCCTCAGCAGCTCTCAGCTTTCTCCTATCTCTCTTCGCCGATATCCCGCCGACGCGGCTCGGCGATGCTCTCCCGGTGATCCTCTCGCTCGGCGCGCAACTGCCTGGCCTCGGACGGCGTTAACGAGGCATGTGCTCCGCCGAATGACGATGCGCCCCACCGTTACCGCGGCGGACGGTATTACGTGTCTTAATTACCGCACGTACACACGCGTAATGTGCACGCACGCACACGCGTAACACGCGTTGATATATTAACGGCGGGCGTCCGTGTGTGCTCGCCACCGTGAAATCACCGTCGCTGAATGAGCCCTCCTCGTTACGTGCCGCTGCCTCTTCCCGGCTACGTCCGCCGCCGCTGCTGCAGATTCTGCGCCGATTCGGAGCGGGCCATAGTTCGATGCCCCAGTGTGGGTGGAGGGAACGACTGACTTTTTAATCGACACGCCCTTGGAGCTTGGAGCACCGACCGATCGACCAGAATCTTCTTCCTCGACCTAGGCGCACCGAGCGCGCGTTATCCTTAATCGCCACGGCGACGTGGACCTCAGAGTACTGACCAACGCGACGCATGTTCCATTGTCGCCTACCTTGGGCTTGGTGCTCCGCTGCCGACGCTGGGTGGGACGAGGAAGATAACGCGGCTCGGGCGCATGCCTACCCTCGATCAATATTCTTCCTTCAGCTCCTGCCGGATCCCCTCCCCACCAGAGATGTCAGATTCGGGTCGCGAGACTCGAGGGGGGCCACGGGCACCGTGGCTTGCTCGTAAGACGAGCGGAAGGGGGCACGCATACTAAAGAAAGAGCTATGTACACGTGCCACATGCGCTCGTACACGCGCTCAGGTTTCTCCTGTCTTTGGCCGACTTCGCCGACTCCGTTTCGCGACTCCGTCTCTCGCAGGAAATCTGAAAATCGGAGCGCGCTAACGCACCTCCGATTCGCCGTCGTCCTTGCTACATCAATGACTGTGCGAGCTGGTAGCTGTTCTGTTTTCCTTCAGGATCATAGGACAAGAGAAATAAGCGAGATCGTTCCGCACGCATGAAAATGTAGCACGCTGATGAACGTGTAATAAAAATGCAAAATCCTGACTTCACAGAAATGCTTAACTTACAACTTGTTAGTAATATAGAAGACTAGGCCTGTTTTTTTTTAGCTGAACTTCTTGCACGGTTCATCTTTCCTCCTTTTCTTTTCACGTTGGAGAGAAAAAGGGAAAAGATGAACTGTACAAAGAAGTTCAGTTGAAAAGAACAGGCCTAACATTCGGTGCATTAAAAAATTATTAATGTGGTTAAATAAAGAAGTTTTTGCTATGAAACTTTTCTGATATTTTGAATACTTTTTGAGATAGATATATCTAGTAAAGAAAAAAGCTCTATATGAGAAATGGGTTCCCTTAGACTACAATTAAAAGGTCTAACTTCGTCTACTTACCCCCCACCCCCTCTCTTTACATGTGTGTAAAATTTCATCAAAGTTAGAATTTTTATGTTTGCGAGGTTCTCTTGTTAGATATTCCCTTGTTACTTCTGGATAAGATAAGATTGGCTATCGCTTTGAGATATAGGTGAAACACAAGAAATATCAACGGAAATCATTGATTTAAATCAATTATCTTCACTTATCGGGAACATGATTTACTCGGCTGTGCCGAGCGACGCTGAGCATTAAACTTTCATTATCGGAGTTTCTTATAACTTCGTATAACTACGTCGTGACCTTCGATGTGTATCTGATTGTGAGACTGCTCCTATTTATATTACTTAACAGGTGTTAACGGGCATGCATTATTTAAAGCGAGGGGTAGCCTTAAAGACGCCAGCAACATTATCTCCATGCAGCAGCGTTATCTCAGGACACTTTGTTGTCCTGACAAGCGACGCGTTATGAGGGATATAAGTTTTTTTTTTATTTAAGAAAGACCTTTATTAATTTATCATTATGGCTTCCACAGGTCTTAGTCTCGCCAGTGCTGGCAGGATTAGCTGTAGGTATCGGCGTACCCATTTTGCTGTTCTACGTCTACGGCGTGGTCCCGGTATCTCTCTGCCGAAGCGGAGGCTGTGGCGTCTCCACGAGCGGCACCGGGGTACGATTTGAATTCGACGACGAGAACGAGCTGATGGGAGCATTGGGCGTTCGCAACGGTGGAGGTAAATACGAGCGCATTTGCGCCACGAACACACACGTTCCGCTCGATTAAATCAATCTTACCCACGTGTGTGCCGCAGCTATTCATACCCCTGTATCGAGGTCGGACTATCGCGATCAAAACCCCCATTACAAAACCGTCACGTTACAGACGCGGCATCAATAGACGTCGCGAGTCACCGCGGTGGCAATCCGTCGATAGGGGAGGCCTCCCTTTCACTGGGTAGCGGCAGTCAGTTGGAGAAATTGGGCCGGGAAAATGATCGCGAAAGCGCCAGCAACGTGGCCCTCGCTGGCACCAGCCTCGCGGGGAGTATAGCCTCCAGCGTGCTTCCCGGAGGTCAAAGGTATTAACTCGTTTCTCGTTCGCTAAACCGGATAATGTGTTTTTCACCGATATATCCGATTACGTGCGTGCACAGGTTGGAAGTCCAGGCTGACGTTACGTCTACACAACGTTTCAGTTTATGTAGCGAAACGGCTTCCGCGGCTACTAGCCTTTCTGAAAAATCCGTAAATGCTTCTATCGCTTTGGACGATGGCGCGGCCTCTACGAGAGCCTTGGCAGGTTCCGTTCTTAACTTTAAGGTATTTACTCCTGCTAAATATTAAATAGGACTTTTTTTTTATTTTTTCAATTACTGAGTAATATTAAAATATTTTATTGAAAAAATATACAGGATAACTTCTAAATATCATTATTTTTATCATCGTCTTTTACATATTTATATAGATGGATGGCAGTTCAATCAGTGGTGGTAGAAGCACAGAAGGAGAACAGGCAGCTAGCTCTGCTAACGGTGGTCACATGGACTCTGCTGGACAAGCTACCTCCCTGAGCTCGCTAGAAGAGGTGGCACCTGGTTTAGCAAAACGTATCCGTCGTAAGCTCACATTTGACCGTCAATGCAGCGATTCCAGTAGTTGGACTATGTGCGGGGAGGACGGCGGTTCGGAACGGGTACGATTCGACGATCACGTCAGCGTAATCGAAGCAGATCAAGAGAGAGTTGTGGGTGGCAAATTGGAAGGCTGCGCGGTAAATAATCGCTCAGCAGGAGGGCGGAAGCGAAACAAGGATTCAGAGATTGAAATGGAGGTTCAAAAGATATCTAAGTACGAATTGCACACCTAAGTGTTAAGTTACAAAAAGGAAAGCTGCGAAATTATTGCGATAATATGTTTGTTTAGGAGTTCAAACGGTGAATTGAATGCCGAGAGTCCTGTGGACGACACTTCGCGGGAACGCGTCAACGTAGCCACTTTGAGAAACGTATTTTTTCACACTTCAGCGATATCTACGGATCGCGAGAAACGATTGTCTGTTATAGAAGAACCGATACCGACTGTGTCGCACACTTCTGGTAATCGGATTTTCTCGCTTTCACACGACGAGAGTCAGAGCCCTACTAGTACGGACGAGAGCTTGCAATGCTAAGAAAATTAAGACTGAGTCTATGGACGTCATGATATGCATGTGTCTCTCAAAACGTTACGATGTGCGTATATACATATTCTTGAGTGTGTATATATGTATTAAACTACATAATTATAATCCGTAAGTATGAACGCGAAGGTTGTACATACCCATACACGCAACACGCAGTATAGTTCAAATGTCACAGGAAGAGATAAAAATGTGGTAAAGGAGTTTTACTGATGTGCATTTGCGCTGTGATTATTAGAAACTTGTGAATGTATACATACACACACACACACATGTACACGTACTGGCCTCCAATTCGTTATAAAATTTTCTTTTTGCGCCAATATTTTATGAATGAATATGATCGTTATTATAACAGAAAATATTACTTATATCTAGATTATTCTCCAGCTTTTGACATCCGGTTTGTAACGAACAGGTGGACAATACAAGCTAAGAAAAAGAATTATAAAAATGAAAGTTAACGTCGTGGATTGTCGCTGCATTTTATAAGTCAAATACTGCTCATTACGTCTTTAAGTATTACGCGTTCTCGTTTAATGTAATCGATTAAGAATATTTAAATATGAATATTCTTCAAAAATATGTTTTTCCTTGCTGTTTGAAAATATATGTAATACGACAAGTAGTTTTATTTCAAATAATATACTATTTCTTACATTATATTATACTGAAATGGAAAAGATTGCAGTTTCATATATGGAAGATATAGTATGCAATACGTACATACATATACATATATATATATATAGAAATACAAATATGTAAATAAAAAAAAATATATATATATACTTATAAATATATATATATATATTTATATAAAGTATGTATATGTTGTATATTATAGATATGTATGTATGTAGAGCCTATTATAAGTTTTAGAAACTATCCCGTAAACTTATTGGATTAATTTATCAAAATAGTAATTGTGGTTTATATATTATTTTTGCATTTGTCAGATCATAGGAGTCAATTGACTATTGATACCGATGTTTGATTAAATAATTAAAAAAGACTTTATACTTTGCTTTATATCAATTAATTTCCTTTGTAACTTTTTATCTGTAATTGTACAACAAATTCAAATATGCATGCATATTAATTTTGTAAAAAGAATTTTGTTCAAAAGTATTGATTACTTTCTAAGTTTTACTCTCTTATAAAACAAAAAATAATAAAATATATATTAGTCGATAGTTTTACAAAAAAAAATTATTTTGTATACGCATACCTAGAAAAAACCGAATTTTGAACTATAACAAACTGCCGCATCTTCTTATACATACGCAAACAGTACCAGTTATATTTAAACGAAATTTACACAGACGTACATATTCGAAATCATTGATACATTTAATATATAGAAGAGGTAGCAAAAATATACTTTTATAAAACATTATGTTGATCATTGATTCAAAAAATAAAATAATTAAGTCCTTATATTCCTAAAAAATTACTTTCAATTTCTAAAAATTTGTATTGACTTTTTTCTACAAAATTAATACAAAGTAATATTATATTTTAAATAAGTATCTTCATTAATTATCTTACTAATATATTATAATCAATTCTTATAACAAGATAAATATGGATTTCTATCTATGTTTATGTTTTTATAAAAATTTTGTATTAATATGCACAAAAATGATCATGATTTCATATTGGACTGTGAATAATTACAGTTTCGAGAAATGCTATTTTTTCTGCAAATATATAATATACATTATACAATATTTACTAACTATGTGTCATAGTATTTTGCTATATATTTTTATCGTCCAACAGTTTTTTTTTTTTTTTTTTTTAATTGAAATTATTAAAACATGTGATGATGACATATATAATAATGATAATATTGCTTAAGATGCTGAAATATCTGTGACTCTCCGAATGCCTATTGCACTACATACTTTATCATACAAAAACCGTAAATATTAATTAGGATTATTACTTAGTATATTTAGAGTATTGGCATCTACAAATAATATATAAATCTGTATTAATTTAATTTGCCTGTACTTGCCTGTCATTAATATTGTACAGCACAGAAATATCTTTTAAATAAGCACTGTTATATCGTTTTACACGTCATTGTAACAAGTGTATATATTTCTCTGGAAAGTAAAATAAACTGCTGCAAGAAAACTGAGACAAGATTGCGTTCAAAATTTACAATTCATTGAGCATCATCATAACTTAATATTGAAATTTAACGCATAGCTTTATGTATACCATTGTCCTAATTGATATTTTTTTGACGTAGCAACATAAACTTTTGAAACTTAGAGTGAATACGTTAGGTGATATGTGGTATTATCTGATTCATTGTTAAAAAAAATTCAACTCGTTTTTATATATAACAATTTTATATCTTTATTATTACCTACAACGATCGACTTAGAAATAGAGGCGATTTTTTGAACAGTTCATCTACCTTTATTTTGAATAATTCACTTTGTATAGGTTCATTTAATTGGCAGAGTGGATTCTTTACTACATATTCCAAGTAGACCTAAAATGAAAAATATGCGATTACGTAGATGTACCTAAACCTGCGTTTTTATCAGGTGAAACAGATACGTGATCTTACTTCTCTGTACAATTGCTGCAGCAATTCTCTGGCATTCTGACTTGCATTATCAGTATTCAAGACAAACTTAAGACCCGATGGCGTTTCGAAGTAGTGAAGCGTATATTTGCTCGTCTTGTAATACAGAAACCCCTCCTTGGGATCCAACGGTGAGATTTTACTTACAAATGATTTTATGGAAAACAGCATCCCATACATTAGTTTCGCTTCCTAAATTGTAAATACATTTCTGGTAATTGTTTTTAGTAATATCTAATCGACATATATTATCTTTTACATTTATACACATCTTGCTCTTTCACAATCGGTTTACTTTTCAGAAAATTTTAATACAATGGCAATAAATATAAGTCGCTATCTGTCATAACAAGATTTTTTTTTCTTTAAGCTTTTGACTTTCTTAAGCCTGTCCAACTTAACAAAGTACACAGATATATTTCTTAATTGTATATCTACTCCTATATTGACTTTTCCTCAACCATTCATTGTGCTATCCTCACAAAAGCGTATGTATAGTGACTGTCCGCAGTGCATTAAGCTCGGGGTCCGTGGGTTTGCTAAGCCCATATGACTGTGCGGCTCAGTCATCCCTGCGGGTGTCATAACATTGTTGACACACCGGATTAGTTTCTTTAATCGACACACACACAAACTTGCATGTTTACCTCTTCCTTTGTTATCCCCGACTTGTTTAATCTGTTCCACTCGGCATAATACAGCAACGTGCCGGTTTTCGAAAAGATGTACAAGTTATGAATTGTCATCGCTGGCACGTTCTCTCCTTTTCGTTTCGTATCGTCGATTCTGCCAGCTGCCACGCTGCCAGCAGTCGTTCCACCTTGCAATTTGCAATCGTTGTTTTGACGTTTCGACGACGACACTGCCCAGCTGTGTGACTCCTTGCACATTCGTCATCTAGTGCCGAAGTGACCGAACTCTGTGCACAAAAATCGTCGATAATACTGGGTTATGCACTTATCTTGTTGTAATAATGTAGATAACGTTACTACAGACGCAACGAAACAAAAAAGAAAAATATATTTTAATTTTAAATAATTTTTAATTAATACATTATTGACGCTATCTATCTTGTACTTGTGTATGTGCTTTGCGAGAAATCTTTGTTTTATGTAAGATTTACATGCAAATCCATATGGATTATATATATAATCTTTTACTCAATTTTTACATAATATATATCTAGTTGCATTTTTCATAATATAATTTTATATAAAAGTAGATGAAAAAGTAGATGAAAAAGAAGTCTTTTAATCTGTCATATATAAATAATTCATAAATTATATTCGACATTATAGAAATAATTCACACTTTATGCTTCTATGGCAACTAGAGAAATTATGTTAACATGATGATGATAAGTGGATATTTTCATATCTCTCGCAATCGATCTTCGTTGATCTTCACACCTTCAGTCACATGTTGAAGCACACTTTGTCACCGATAAATTAATAAACCAAAACGGCGAGATAGAATTCAAAACCATTCAAAAATGTAAGCCAAAACGGTGCAAATGTTCTTGTCGATTGTATTACCTATTCCAAATCGTAAATGGCATACCCGCGCGAAGTTCTCATTTTCGGGAAACTAGATTTCATCTCGAAGAAAAATCAATATGTCCTTCTGTGATGAAATTGATGGTAAGAGACGATGCTCTAGCACCGGTTGCTGTGGTTAGTATAGACAAATTAAATAGCCAATATCATAAGGAAAATGATAGCGATTTCAGTTTTTCAAAAATTTAAAATAATAACAATAGTTTATATATGTCATTATATCTTTAATTAATATATATTGAAAAAACTTGGTATTTATTATTTACTTATTATTGTTAAATATTAAAAGAAAAAATTCACACCAATACCTTTGAATTAAATAACATTTTATTATTTTTAACTACCATCGAAATTTATTACTTTAATACAAAATAGTGTATTATTTTAACTCCATTGGTTTAGTTAAATTAACATTGTTTTAGTTAAATTGTTGAGTAGAAACAGTGGCGACAATATATAGAAATGGTTAAAAATGACTCAAATTGAGTATAATTAACACTACAAATTTAACTATGTATAAGCAAAGAGGAATGTTAATAGCTGTCATTAATAGTCATTCTGTGACATTAATTTATTCAAATTTTACTGAATTGTTTTATGAAAGTTATGATTTTTAGTTGTCATGAAAGCTAATATCATTAACACAATACAAAATTAGTTAAGAAATCAATGTATCGTACATTACTCAAAACCGTGCAGCTTAATATATCTCAAAATATATCTTTCCAAGAGATTTATTTTATAGCTAAACAAATGTATTCCTTTTTGTAATAACAAAGTGCTTTGAACGCTGATTCTAAAATCCCCGAGAGAGTTTCGTGTGTTTTCTTCCTTAAATATCTTCTTATCCCTATATATATATCCCGAGAATGTATGTACATGGTTCGAAAACGTACAGTTTGCTTGTAAAAGATATTCTTCAAAGAGATTCACTTTATAACTAAGCAAATGTATTTCTTTTTTTAACAACAAAATACTTTGAATACTGAGAGATTCTAAAATCACTGAGAAAATTTTATTTTCTCTTTCTTGAATATCTCCTAATCCCTAACTCGTATACATATATCCCGAAAATGGATGGCTTTAGCCAGCAATATTTTGATGCAGGAAACAGTTGTGCATCAGGCAAGAGCGGTTGTGAGACGCGCATATCTTCGTGTAATTGCCAAAGTAACGTAGGATGCCCGGATTGCGTCGCTTGCAGTGGTCTGCGGCCCACCGGAACCGCTGCGACGGGCGCGTGTCCTGGTCCGTGTCAGTGTGTCGAGGAGGAAATCTGGAACAGTAACGTGCCACCTAAACCGAATTGCCGATGGTTGAATAACTTCGCCGAGCTACGCCGTCAATGGAGCGATTACGGTCGCCAGCAAGCGTACAAGTGCCGCGGCTGCAGACGATCGTGGTAGGCAAATAACGATGGTCCAGCATATCGGTATCTTGGGTGGACACGTGGGCGAGAAACCGACATCGTCCTGCGTGTGACGAGACGATAAAAATGAACGTTTTACATCAGTCCCAGAACACTTGCTCGCTTTTCTCGTTTCCGAATAAAAAAACGATATCGGTTACTCTCGTTCGGAGGTATTTCAACACTCTGTATTAAGGCACGTTGTAAAATTCAACGGCTTTTGCTTCTGGCTGTTTTTTGGTGTGCGTAAGAAAAATGTTGCCCGTGTGCGACATCCGCGATGTTTTAGGGTAAACTTATTGAGGGTGAACAGCTTGGAGGAAATTGGAGCTAGTGCTTATCTCAGTTTTCGTGAAAGCACTGTCCATTTGTAGCGTCGCTGTTGCTCTCTCTGTTTTATTTTTCTTCACGGGGAAAGAATTTTTGAATGAATATGAACGCTAAGCGAATATATTTTTATATTCAGTGATATTGAAAGAATTATTAGATTTCCTTATTTTGTGCCGTGTTGCATTTTGTTCGCAGCAGAACTGTCGCTTCGTGCCGACCGTGTCTTTCACCAACGGCCCCGTGTTCCGGTACCATTTTACTTATGTCGGACTGTCAGGTACACACCAAGGTAGATTCCTTGCTGAGATACGCTTTAAAATGCTTGAGATTTCTTTGAGGTAGTAAATTTTACAACTATTTACTGCGAGAGGAGATTAAAGTAAATGTCGGCGCGAAGAAAACAAAAGATCTACTTAATCCCGCTATTCTAGTTTAAGATTGCTCAATTTTTACCCAATACTTGCTTTAAAAATATTCTTTCTAATATTAATAATAATTTTAGTAATGACTTCAACGTTAATAATTAACTTCCGAAGCATCTAATGCAGAACAAATATATTTGAATAAAATATTTTTAAAAATATCATCCATTTTTGAATTCAAACGTAGTCGATGTTCATGACGAACTGAGACTGAGTAGCAAGATTAAGCAGTGCAGAATAAACAATGCAATAGCATAGTTAATGCTTATGACATCCTGTATACGTTTTAATTAAATTTGACAGGAAGGTCGCAAGGATTTAATTCAAGCGCGGTTAGTTGGCGTACTCGATTTATGTAAATTAGTATAGTATAGTTAGAAGTAGGCGAGTGTTTCAAAGTTTCTTAATTATTCGGTAAAATTCGTAAAGTTGGCCAAACTAATTTGTATACAGACTTTAATGGCACAGTAATTGGGACGTTTAAAATGTTAAACGTTTAAAATGCGACCTAAACTTGACTGCTGTAACTTTAATGTATACGCGCGGCCATTACGTGTTCGTTACATTTATCTTGACGCGATTTAAAAGACGTCGTCGTGTTAAGTTGCAATTTTCACAAACGGACAGCATTTTTAAGACGCCGATTCCGGCAGCTATACGGTTCGCGCGATAAGTTCGCGCCTCGCTTTGTAACTGTCGTCAGATTCCTCTATCTTCGACAGAAATGCTGTGGGAGCCGTCGTTTAGCGGGCGGGGCAAGCAAATCGGAAGTGGCACCGGCAGATAAATCGCCATCACCCGAATCTCTGAAACGGGAAGCGGGCGGTGGTTGCCCGCCGCCAAACTGTAGCCGTCCATCGACCCGCTATAACTCTCCCATGAACGCGGATTGCGCGTCGACCGCTTCGTCTTGCTGCCCCTCGCAATGCAGATATCCTCAAACTTCGCCGCATCGGGCGTCCGACTGTCTTCAGCCCTGTGCCCGGAAATCTATCCTGAAAAAACGCAGCTGTTGCCAGTGTAATAATGCGAATCGCTGCTGCCTGTGCCAACCGATGCCGCGCGGCTGTAACTGCCCGCCGCCGATTCAGGTGGACGCGCGCGCTGCTCACGAATGCTCCTGCGACTGTCCGTCCAGCCCGGAATGCGCCTGTCCACCCAGCGAACGAAGATTCCCAAAAACGACGGTCAAGTGTACTAACGCGCGTCTCTGCTGTCCGTCCCCTCGATTACCGCCGAGTCCCAAGTGTTACTGCCCGCGTTGTCAGCCGTGTCCGCCGCCACCTTGCGGTCCATGCACGTCCGCCAAGTGTCGACGACCCCTTCCACTCAAGGATCTATGCTCGCCGTGTCCATCCTGCCCACCTTGTCGGCCGGTTTCGACCGCTTCGCCTTGTCGTGTTACTCCGACACCTTGCAGAAACCTGACGTTCTGCAACGAGCGTGGCGGTCGACCTTCCTCGCCCTGTACAGGTCAGTCTTGGCGTGGGATTACTGGCGATATAAGGAGCTCGGAGAGTAGCATCGGTAGTAAACAAAATGGCAATGAGAGACGAGAGTTACACAATAAGAAAGATCGTGACTGTTGTTATGCAGATTGTATTGGATCCGAGATTGAATCCAAATACACCGATAAAAATCGCAATTTGACGCTAAACGAGGGATATACGCATCAGAATTCAGAGTCAAAGACGTTTATTAATTTGTCAGAGACCACAAATCCTTCGAAGTCTGTCGATCCCGATTCGTACGTGTCGGAGGAAAGAGATGAGACCGCTTTTGAAAATGCAGCGGAGGCTCTTGAAGAATGTACCATCGAAAAATCTTCGAAGGATTCGTGGTACACTTCACCTACCCCCGCTTCGTCCAACAGCGGTACGGAGCCCGATTATTATGCATTCCAGGAGGAACATCCGCCCACTGGCAGAAACGTGTCTGGAAATCTTGTTTTGGCAAGATTATCGAGTCGTATAAAATCATTTAGTCGGGTAAAGAATTTATACGAATAAAACGCTGCTTCGACGTAGCGTGTTATTCTTCGCGAAGCTCCGCAGGCACGTGTTGAACCGTTGGCGGGGGTTTCAATAAGCATCCTGGCAACCACACCGACACGTGGGATCGACAGACAACGTAGGAATGGTGGAGCCTTGAAGGAAGATACGACAGGGAGGGAAGATGCTCGTAGTTTACCTTGGGAAAATCGCGTAATACGATTGAACGCGTTTCAAAACTACCGTCTTCTACGACTCGCGACTGTTCAATTTTCCTCACCTACGTCGTCTAGCGAGGAACTTACCCGTTTCACCCCGTAAATCAAAATTACCGTTCGGGTTTGTTATATTTTAAAGTAATCAACGATAAATAGAAACGAGAAAATTGTAAATTTAAATTTCGAGAGAATATTTATCTATAAGATATTTCTATAATTAATACAGAGAAAAGCTATTAATTAGTTTAAGTATTTTTAATAAATTTAGACAATTTCAAAAATTGATGAACTAGTATTTTGATGATCAATAAGCTCTCTTTTTCTCTACAGAGATCTCGTTTAAAAAATATATATTTTACAAAAATTTTAATATATTTTATGCAAGTACATCTAATTTTATAATGTTTAACATTTTATATTTTTTATTTTAAACAAATTTACTTATGTGGCTCATTAAAAAATGGAGGCATTATTATAAAATTACGAACTTTTTAGTTATGTCAATTTTAACAACATACACATTTGAGATTCACAGAAAAATGAATCTCTATATATGTTCAAAAATTTTGAAGAACTCAGGAAATCTGTTTTGTTAATTTAGTTGTGTAATATGCTAGAGACTGATGTTGACTCTACCTTATGTTATCACCAAAGGACCAATGTGACACGTGGTGTGGTGCATCCAGTAGGTGTCAGCTGCACGTCGGAGGGAACATTGAGCGCATATGCGCATACAAATGAAAAGAAGAGCGTGAGTGCATGCTGCGATGTGTTTTCTAATCTTGGTGGCATCGGCTATTCGACTCTCGTACCAAGCCCGTTGGCACTAATATCCTTCGCTCTACTGATTCTTCTAGCCGTTACCTGGTCCTCCGGTTCAGCCTTTTACCGTCGTTACTTGTTACGCAAGAGAATTTGCTGGAAATATCTGAGATTATAATTATGTGAAATTCTCTTGAGCTTGTGACAAAATAAAACAGAATAAAAAATTTGATGAACCAAAATCCACGCACATATAAGTAAGCGAAAACTTGTACGTAACTCTAGAAAGTTGCAATCTAAGTTAGCACGAAATATAAACTTGGTCAATAGCCTGTAAGCTACGCTTTGTTCCAAATACGAAACTCATGATACAATGCAATACACATCGAATGTAAAACAATGTGTAACGATAAATAAATGATATATCAACGAATGCATCGAACCGCCTAGGAGAGAATATTAATTTTAACAATATAGATTTATTTTATCATATTTTAGGACATTTTTTCGGCGATTTATATCTATAAGATACAAATAATTGATTATTAAATAAAATATCTCGTAAAGTATGTATAGCGGTAATTCCCTTGCGAACATTTTCTTTTTTAATATACGCGATATATACGCTTCAACCTCCCCCATCACACCGGGAGTGACATAGCGAATGACGCTCGCGCTTTCTGTCAGTCGGCGAAATGACGTGCCGGAGAGCGTTTCCGTTCACGTTTTTGACGGTGTTGGTGTTCTGTGCAACATTCCGACGAGGTGCTCCTGCTGTCGCAGGAACTATCGAAAATAAGAGTGTCACTGAGAAAGCGCAACCAGAGGGTTGCATTGAGTGTGGATATTACAGGTACACGCGGTCGCAGAAAAAAACTGGATATAATCGAAGACTGTAGCGTAATATAGAGGAATTGTAGATGTTTGCAGAGGAAATAATGATTCAGCATTAAGAATGTCTTATCTAAAGTTTCAATTTTTCTGTGTATATATCCATTTATATTTTTTTCTTAATTTATATTACAGAATTATAATTTAGGAAGGAAAGTGGTACTCTTTAGAAATAATTTTTAAAATAATTTTAAGAAAGTTAAGTCTCATTTTTCTTCTTAAATTATAACTATAAACTTAAAAGTAAGCCCTATGGCCCTAAGTTTATATAGGTAGACATCATAATATATTTTTTACTGTTCATTGTACGTATATAGATGTCCAGAGAATTCTGGAAAATGCTTGCTGGGCTCGGTACCTGATCCTTGTGGATGTTGTCCGGAGACCGGTTTGTGCGCCCGTCTCCTTGGCGAACCATGCTGGAACGTGAGCATCCCTCTTTTATCTTCAAAGAGCCGTAACGACGGATACTGCGCAAGAAATTATCTATGCGAGTTGCGCTCCGATCTACAAGAAACGGTACGGTACGAAACGCAGTTCGTGCTTACAAAAGTTGAATGAGATCTTTAAGCACACGATTAATTTTATTTTAATATTTAATATTCGAGAAGCAAAATTTATAAAGTCGTTCTCCACAATACCGCGAAGAATATGCATGTCGTGAATGTGTTTTACGCGCGTCATTTCTGAAATTTTCAATTTAGTTGCGTAGATTCTAGAATTTTTTGCTTGTTATTTGTTTTGTTCATTTAAACATAACTGTATATTATTTATATTATTGAACTTTATATTATTGAATTATCGAATTTTAAAGAAGGACTCGGTACATATACCTATGTACGACAACTGTTTTGATCACGTGTTTGGATCGTGTACAGTTTTTCATTAGTGTAGCGAAACGATCGTCCAACAGTAACTTACACGAATGTGCGTGGTATTGTCGCTGACAACACTTAATGTAATCGTCCAGTATATTAGTATAGAATTTAGTCTGAAAGTTAATTTAAACAAAAATAATACGACATTCCACCAGTTGTTTTATCACAGAATTATTATTTATTATATATCTATTTGCTTTCAATAAATTTTGCATGTATATAATTTACAAGTTGTCGTAATAGAGTCCTTTAAAGAGCGGATTCCTTTAAAGAACATTCGTTGAATTTACACGAAGCTAAGAAAGCGAGTCATCACGGGCGATATTTATCACCTCCGTAAGTGATAAATTCACTTTCCCAATTAGATTTAAGGGGATCACGTTCTAGATCACTCGGTCTCAATGAGCTCGGTAATGAGAGCTCCGGCTTTCTGGGTTAGTTCGACACAAAAATGGGAATCGCGCGTCATTGCGCAAACGATATCTAACGTAGACCCGCGTATATCATCCACCCACTGTGCTACGTTGTCAGTCAGATCTAACGTAGCTCCAAGATTGCAGCCACCGGCGACTTACGGTCGCTGACCCGCTCCGCGCTGGCCTTTTCGCATCTAATTTCGTCTTGTGCACCGTGGGCCGTGATCGCATTGTGAGAATATATGCGCACACACGTCATGCAATCAAACAATCAGGCAGACCGTTTATGATAGACGCGGGCTGGATAAGAATACTTTTCGCTATATGGTCTTAAAGGGGGTAGGAGTCGTATTTAAATAGCCGGAACATCTCTCAAAGGTCGTTCCGGGTAACTGCATAAATACTTAATCATTTTTACATTAACTACTTAATTACAACTCTACATTGAACTATTTAAACGATCACTAATTATTTTCCTTAAGCGAGCTATCTATGAAGACAATTCGCGCGAAGTCTGTTTGTGGTGTTTGTGCCAGTTCCATAGAAATTCTCAGGATATAGCGAAGACGTGCTGGCACACAAAGTACCATTTTACCAACTACAAACGATTTAACTTCTCCGTAGTAAAATGAGAAAATTGTTTTGTCTCTAAATATCAAATAATGGCCATTTTCTGTCTCTGTAAAGTGGGAAAACAGTAGCAATAAGAAAAATGGCGATAACAACGTCTTAAGATCAATCCAGACAAACTTGCATAG